TGTCCTGCAGTGCCACATCATGGAAGTGGCCATCAAGAAATCAAAGGAACGGAGGCAGAGACGACGTGGAGCGATGGAGCAACTGGGGACTTTAGACCCAGAGAGGGAGAGGGGCTGTGTGCTGATGACTGAGGGGCAGGCTTGCAGGGTATGCCCTTTTGTTGGCTGATGATGCATGGAGGGGATTGTAACCATGGCAATGAAATGATACACAACAGGATGAATGTAAAGCTAATGTTCTCCCATGTAAATGATCACATAATTCACAACAGAACATTAAAAACAAACAAACAAAAAATACCAAAGGAAGCATTGCATTAGGCAAATCTGAAAAAGACTTCTAAAAGCAAAGATGTCCTTTTTGAGGACTATTTGACCCAGGCCTTGGTATTTTCAGTTGCTTCATATGCATGTGAAAGCTGAACAATGAAGAAGGGAGATGGGAGAAGAACTGCTGCCTCTGAATGATGGTGCTGGGGCAGAATACTGACAATACCAGGGACTGCCAGACAGACAAACCTGTCCTAAAGAGGAACAGCCAGAGTACTCCTTAGAAGCTAGGATGGTGAGACTTAGGACATGTTGTTAGGAGGGAAGAAAGACTCTGCTTATTAAACAGTGAAAAACAGGAAGACTGTCATGTACATGCATCAATACTTGAGCAACACTGGGCTTAAACAACAATCATGAGGATAGCACAGGACTGGGCAAGCATTTTGTTCTGTGGTACACAAGGTTGATCTGAGTCAGAACTGCCTAATACCATACACATTGTGTACAGCTCCATGCCATTTTATCACATATGTATGCTGTCTAAATTCATGTAACCAACAAGAAAGGCACAGGACTATTCCATCACCCTGAAGAGCGCTTCCCCACACTGAGAATGCCTGGCAACCACCAACCTGAAGTTCTGTCACTTCAAAAAGGTCTGGCAATAGCACTGTTACAGTTTGTGGCTACTTATGACAGGCTTTTTTCACTCAGCTAATAGTAATGTCTTTGAGATTGCGTGTATTCATGTTTTGTTCCGTTTTGTGGCTGAATTGTTGGTGTTAGTTGCTGCCAGTGTGGCCCAGTAATTTTCCTGGTAGGCCCAACAGTCACTCTTTGGGAGAAAGATGATGTCTGTTTCCATCAAGATTTCCAGCCTCAGAAACCCTAGGGCATTCCACTCTGTCCTATGAGTTGGAATCAACTTGACAGCAATAGGAGCAACCCCTTGTGACAGTAAAATGCTAGATAGTTTTCTAAGCTGTAATCTTTCCAAGCACAAACTGCCAGGTCTTTCTTTAGGTTGGCAGCCAAGTGTTAAACTGTCATGCCACACCAGGGCTCCTTTTACTGTTAAAATGAATTCCATAAAATGGGTGGACATGCTTAATGATCCCCCACTTATGGCTGCTATCCTGGTATGGCACTGCAGAATAATGCGCTGGACCACAAGTCAGTGTGAACTGCAAGGTCGACGGTTCAAACCCACCAGCTGTTCCTCGAAAACCCTATGTAGGGTCACTATGAGTTGTAACGGATTTGAGGGCACTTAACAACAGTAAGATGTGAATGTAAGTTTTCATTTCTTTGGGAGCATGGTTCTGGGACGTTAGTCACATAAGTCACATAGGAGGGGTTTCCATGAGTTTGTGAAAAAATTCCATTATCTTTCATTCCATTTCCCCACAAACTTTTAAGCCCCTTGTATGTTTAGTTTTTTGTGTGTTTTTTAAATTGCCAAGCTGTTTCCCAGAGTGGCTGTACCATTTTCCACTCCCTCCAACAAGGTATGAGCGATTCCGTGTCTCCTCATCTCTGCCAGCATTTGATAGGGTCACTTTTCCCCCCTTACTGTTCTAATAACTGTGCAGTGATGCGCTCATCATGGTTTTAATATCTATTCTCTTAATGGCTAGTCATGTCGAATACCTTTTCTTGTGTTCATCTGCCAGTTGGTATGGTGCTGTAGATCAGCACTGAACTGCAAACCACAAGGTTAGCAATTCAAAACCACCAGCCTCATCTCAGGAACCCCAATTTGTTGGGATTTAATTATACCAGTTATTTGTATTTTCTGGATCTAAATGTTGTTTCTTGAATATGTGATTTGCAAATATTTTCTTCCCAGTAGTAGCTTGACTTTTCATCTTACCAGGGGAACTAAAGTGCTAGGAACTGAGGTGTGATGGTCACCTGCCTTAGGGCTGGTGACTACTCCCCTCACTTCTTCCTGCTTGTAGATCTTTAGTAAAAGATAAAAGCCATTTCCAAGTCTATGAAGTTCTCCCTCCCCTTAGCAGTACTGACTCTCTAGACCCTGTAGGCTGGGGAGCAGACCCTGCTGTAGACCTTCAGGGCCCTGACCAGCTCTGTCACTGAAAGTACTCCTGGGGAATCTGAGTTCCTTAGGGTGGTCCTGTGGGGCTGGTGGGTCCAAAAGGGCCTGCGGAGAAGAGATATACACTGCTGGCCACCCTAAGTCCTCTGAGCGTTGCCATTATATGAGATCAGAAGGCGGGCTGGCTACACATCTGCACTGCGGCACCCGCTGCAGTGGAAATGCTTTCTCAACTAAACCTGCACTTTAACTTGCCTTTCACTTTACTCAAGGGTTATTACTGTGTGTTATCAGAGTAGGTAGTGTTCCTTGTATACTCATTAGACAAGGACCAAGAATACATTGGACTTCTCTAGAATGTCAGTCAAGATAGTTTGTGCAGACAACAGGACCCGATACTTGGTGGTTTTCAAGAAGTATTTGTAAAAATGTATGAAATGGATATAGCCCTCTGTATTTCCCTATTTTACCTTGGCTATTAACAATCACAAAGGTATATTTAGATTTCAACTGTAATTGTTGTTGCCCTGCTTGTCTGCTAATAATCCTTCATGTTTTTTATGGGCTTTTATCTTGGACTTCTAGTTTTTAGTATTTTGTTGTTAAGGACTGTCAAGTCAGTTCCAACACAGAGTGACTCTGTATAGGGTTTCTGAGACTGGAAATCTTTATAGAAGCAGAAAGTCTCATCTTTCTCCTGAGGGGCGGCTGGTGGGCTGGAACCACCAACCTTATGGTTCACAGTCCATTTGTTAATGTACAGAGCCATAGCTTTTCCTTTATTCTAAGTCCCATTTCTGTATAAAATGTATTAATGTACAACATGGGGAGAAGACTTTGTTGGGAAGACAAAGTCAAAGAGGTTGCTGGGGTGGACCCTGCCCCTGTGAGGAGGCAGGAGGAGGGTCACTAATTAGGAGCTATAGGAAGGCCTTGCTGTGCTTGGGGGCCTCCGTGACACTGCAAGTGGGGTTTTTTTGTGGATTTCAAGGCAGGGAAGGACTAACAGCCCGTAGGGGAAGCAAGAAAGACAGTAAAGGAGGGGTGAGGCACAAAACTCCCAAGTTTCCCCAGATCGGAGGGAGGAGGGGTTTTGGGGTTAGAGGATAAAAGAGTAAAACACATCTGAGTTACAGGTTCTGTCAAGTTTAAAATCAGAAATGAAACAATTTGGTGATAAGACCATCACTATAAGCACCACACTATCTGTGGTGGTGGTGGTGGTGGGCCACTGAGTAGTGACCCTCCGAGGCTGTCAGTGTTTCCAGGAGCAGAAAGCCTCATCTTTCTCCCATGGAGCAGCTGGTAGGTTTGAACTGCTGACCTTGTGGTTAGCAGCCCAGCTTATAATCCACTATGCTCTCTGTACTACAATATATACTTCTGTTGGGGCAACAGAGTAAATTCTAATTCACAATGACCCAGTGTGGTAAAAATACTGCCCCATAGCATTTTCTAGGCTGTACTCTTTACAGGAGGGGATGTTCAGATCATTCTCTTATAGAGCCACTGGGTGGGTTCCAACCAACAACCTTTCAGTGAACAGTTGAGTGCTTAACCAATGCACTACCAGAGATTCTTCAAAATATAGACGCAAATAATGTATTTAGACACATTAGATGCAACTAGGTTCCTGACCGTTGAAATCTGACTCTGAACACTAAAAAACCCCAGGAGTGTCCTATGCCCCCACTAATGGAAACAGGTGTCTTGAGGGAAGGTAGAAGGTAGGAAAATGGGTAGAAATCTTCTAGGTCAATCAGGAGTTTAATGATACTGTAAAATTCTAGTCCTTGAGGGCAAAATAGGTTTCAAACAAGACAGAGCAGAAAACTGGCTTAAGAAAAATCTGCTTATATACAAAGACAGTAAAAAGAACAGATTCTGTGAAGGTCAAGAGATCCAAGGCCCTCCCTTCAGTAGCTGTTTAACTCTAGACAAGTACCTTAACCTCTCAGAGCATTGCTACAGAAATACGAAGGTGTTGATAGTACCCTCATCACAGGGCTGCTGGTAGGATTACATGAAGATGATACATATAATGGGTTTAGCACAATTTCCTACACATAGGCTTATTTAACAAATGGTGATTCCTCCAACTGCTGCAAGCTTCCAAGGCAAAGAGCTAAATCTCAAAGACATGAGATACCTAGCGAAAAGTGCTAGTTGTTTTTGATCTTTCAACATATTTTAACTCCCATTCACCCTATGGATGTATTTCTGAGCAGATTTGAAATATAACACGAGGATGGTTTACATCTCGTCTTAGAGAATAACATTTTAACATGCTAGCTTTCACTTTAGCAGACTAAATTGATGAACATGAACTTGAATGAAGCAGTAAACATGGTAAGCTTCAAATCCACCCAAAAGTACCTCAGAAGTCAAGTCTGGCAATCTGTTTCCATAAACATAGGGAGCAGTTCTGCACACATGGGGCTGCTATGAGTCAGAACTGATCTGATGACAACTAGCCACCACCTTATTAGAATCACATCCTAAAACTAAAGGCGTAACGTTTAGATACCCTGTCTCACAAGCTAGCCCAACAAACAGATTTTTGAAACCAAAAATATAGAGTATTCTAGGAAGGGAACCAAAATAGTCTTGCTGTGATTTTGGGTCATTCCCCTAAAAGATGAAGAATGCCACAAAAAAACCGACTCACCAGGGCTTGCAGTTTCGGACAGTGAATGGAGAGCTGGATTAGCGTGCTATCCGTTATCTGGCGAGAAACAGGCTGTCAGTGCGGCTTCTACATCGTAATACCTAATCCTGGCTTTGGGGAAGCAAGCACATCTGAGCATGAGAACCAAAAGCCCATTAAAAACGCATCTCAAGCGGAAGCACTTCTATTTACTTGCAGCCTCAGACTGTTCACACTCATTGAGATGCAAAAACTCTGTGTTGGCCTCACCTCTGGGGGCTCAGGTGTGTTATGTAAAGCGAACTAAAACGGAGTGGGCAAGGAAGGGAAGCCAGGATTTTTCTCCCTGGAGTCATTCCATCACCAGGTATGTTAGCTTATTTCTCCCTTAAATTCCATGAACAATAAAAGCACTCAAAAACAAACAACTGGCACAAGATGTTATCTTCATCTCTATTCCTGTTCTAATGGCAGAAGAGACCCAAAAGTTCATGGATGTCACTGCCATGGCCCTCATGGTCCCCACACCCTGCCTCCTCTACAGGGGCACAGAGTGTCTGATCGTAGCTGTGCTTGGCTATCTGGGTAGTGATTAGGGGCTGCCCAGCAGGGCTGTCAGAAGGAACCCACTCACCAGGATGCATTCTTCAAGATCCATCTTCTCCAGTTCATGGCAATTCTGAAAGAGTCCACAAGACCACGCAAGTCAGTGGTCGGGCAACACAGGTGGCTTGCCCTATCCCTCTCAGTACTGGCCCATTGGCCTCTGAGCAAGAAGGCTCCCTGTGAGTCCCATTTTCTTTTGAAATGAAAACAGGGCTGCCCTGGGCTACACTTCCTTCCCTCAACTACCTAGAAGATAAGTGTCTACACCTTCCCAGTGGCGCACATACATCAGCATGAAATTATTTTAGCCACAGAAGAGGTGAAGAAACCAGGCCCAAGTTATAGGAGTACTGGGGATGGGGTAGGTGAAAGAGTCTATCAATATTCCAGGGAGGGCAGGGCTTCCTGGCAGCAGGCCTGAAGGGGCCCCACAGTGGGTGCAGTTAGCAGGATGAGATTGTAGGTGGAAGAGCAGAGCCCACAGGAAGAGGTGTCTAGGAAGCAGGTGAGGGCATCTGCTGCTGAAGAGTAAGCTCCTCTCAGGGCAGTCCACCTGTCCAGGTGAGAGGCAGGCCTGAACCCTCTGCAGGCCTCTATAAGACCGCCCCAGATGTCTGACCCTTGGGGAAAGTAAGCACACACATGAGAACATGAGAGCTCTAGTCTACACGACACCAGTCATTTCAGAATAGAGGGGTTTTTGCATACCACCCCCACCCCCAACCTGGTATGGTGCTGTGGGTTAGCGCACTGGACTGCAAAGTCGGTTTAAGCTACAAGGTCGGCGGATCAAGCTCACCAATTGCTTCTTGGAAACCCTATACAGGATCACTATGGGTTGGAAGAGACTCAACGGCACTTAACAAACAAACCACTCCAAGTCCCTTTGAAACAGAGAGGTGAATTAGACTTTGGTTTTGTTCTTAAAAACATATGCCTTACCCGAGCTAGAAGTGTAAAGCCTGCATCAGTCAAATGGGAGCAGCGGGCAGCCTCCAAAATCCTAGGTGGTGGTGGTGGTGGTGGTGGCAGGGGAGGTGCAGGGGAGGAAAACGTGCCAACTGGTTAACAATGAAAATTCAACTTTATGATGCACATTTTATAAAATTTCCAGGTAAGCTAAAGAAAATCAGAAAAATAAATTAACTCTCCACTATCTGTACTTAAACACATGGAATGGATGCAAATAAAACATTTCTAGATGAAACACCCTATTAACAATTTTTACCTCATTTTAGGCCAGTTCACTCATCCCTTCACTGAGCAGAAATATTAAAACATCTAGAATCTTCCTTAACACAATAGTAAGAAAAATCTGAAACAGGCAATCCTTGTAAGATATGGATGATATCAGTGAAAATGGTGGAGTAGGGGAACACAAAAATTTGTCCTGCCACAAATGTAATGAATAAGTAGGCAAAAATTGTCAGAATCAACTTTCAGAACTCTAGAATCCAATCCAAAGTTTCTAACATCTAGGGGAACACTTAATAATAGTAATAATAAAAATTCCAAGTCGGTTAAGAGAGCTTTATGGTGTTTTAACTTTGTTCTGGTACCATCCCCTATTCTCCAGCCCTGTGAACTCTGAAGACAAGGTTGCATTCCTGGCAATACGCTGCTCCTAGGACCACAGAGAACAACTGGGACGTCCCTTCAAAAAACTAAACATTGTGCTTATTTGTTTTGACCTGTCTTGGTGGCTCCTGAAAGAACCAGTTCAAAGGTTTTATACTTACTTTGCCTAACCCAGGACTCTGACAGAGCTGGGGTGGCAACCCAGGGCACTGTCAAAAGCATTGGAAGGCAATTGTATTAGCCATACTATCTGGGGTAGGGATAACAACTGGGACAAACAATAGACAACCCAAAACTTGTGAAGAACAGCTAAGAAATGAGATGCTTTTAGGAGGGAGGGTTTTAAAAGGCTCCTGCCCATTCACGGGGATTTGGAAGGCCACACACATACGCAAAGGGTGAGGCTCATGCTTAGAAATAACAGAAGGCCAGGAAAGTCATCACTGCCCACTGACCTCCAGACTCTGCTGGAGCAGAAGTAAAAGAGAAATCAGAGTCATAAATTTCCTCACTGAGGAGTGAAGGGATGCACTGAATCACACACACAACTGTAAAGACTGGAGATTAAGTTTGTTGCTGTTGCTTCAGGAGTTTAAGAAAATCTCTGTTAAATCACTAGTTCATTACCAAGTTAATAGGGCAGGAATTTCAATGCCCACACACTAAAAACACAGAAATTATAAATATAAGTATACAAAAGTCGCTTACCAAACAACTACAAAAAATAACAAAAAAAACCTTGGGGAAAGGGAAAAATCTGATTCCTGGAGTTACCATATTTAAATAATCAAAATGTCTGGTTTTCAACACAAATTATGATGAATGCAAATAAAGTATGGCCCAGTGTAGAACACAGAATTTACTTTCACCCTAATAGAGGTAGCCTTTATCTGTGGCTCCAGAGAAATAAATCTTGAAATAACTGGTGTGCACTGGTCTGGGACTTCCAGGCTACTCTTGAGAATTTATGCTGGCCAGTATAACAACAGTAGGGACTGAAAAGACCAGAAACAACTCCCTTGGGTGACTGATATCAACTAGCCACTAGTGATGTTAGCCTGTCATGTGGTAAAAGCCATGAACACTGAGGGAGAAAGAGCTGCCTGGCTGACAAGAATATACACTCTCAGGAGGGTAACAGATCATTTCAACATAAAAGTTCTACAATGAGAAATCTACAAGACCTTACCTTATGAGCCACTGACTTTGTATCCTTTTTGATTAAAGAAATTGGTAGCCATAAATATGGTACAATCTCTGTGAATTCTGTGAGTTGTTGCAGCAAATAAGGGAACCGAAGGGACGGTGGGAGCCAGCAGGTTAGTAACTAAGGGCGTCATGTGGGTTCCTGAATTTGTGGTTGGCATCTTGAAGGGATAGTGAGAAATCAACCCCAAATTTGTGGGCAGTAGGTCAGAAGGTTGTGGTGTCATGTGGACTCCCCAAATTTGCAGCTAGCAGCTTCCTACTTCACAGTCTAAAGGAGGGTGTCTTTTAACATTTAATATTTTACTGAGTTTTCCATGCAAATCGACACAGAAATATAGATTTCCATTGAACAGTTTCTACACAATTGCTCACTGACATTATATTTTCCACAATGTGTCAACACTCTCTTTAATTCTGTTCCTTTGAGTTCCAGTGCTCTAGTCTCCCTACTCCTGATCTTTTCCTCTTTGCTTTAGAAAACTGGTTGACCTTTTGGTCTCATAAAGATATTTTTGTAATGGGCAATAGGCTTTGTTTATGTGCCAATCTGTTATTCCACTCAAACGTGACCAGAGCCTGCTCTGCCCACCTGGCACTTCATCTCCCCCCCACCCCCCTTGAATAAAGGCTGATGCCCTTGGTCTCAACTGTGTCGGCCACTCTGAGACAGCTGGCAAGGTCACTGGCTTTTGCAGGTTTTGTGGATGTCCTGATATCACTGGTTCTTTAGGTCCCCCCACCATTTGTAGCATGTCAAGGAGTCAGGTGTCCTCAGAGATGAACATGGTATGGTAGGATGGTGGCACTACTGACTGGTATTACTTAGGTGCCAAGACCTGTGTTCTTGGGGCAAAGGGTTGTGTTAGCTAGACAGTAAACTCCAAAGCCTGGGGACTACATAAAAGCACCAAATCAAAATTGCTATCAGTTGACTTAAATTTAAAGGACCACCAAAAACATGAAAATGGTTAATTAAAAAAAAAAGTAACCAGGAAGATCATTTTTGTTTAAAGCGTCAAGAATGCCTCAGAGCAATACTCTTAAGGAATCTTCTAGTCTCATTTGGTTCATTAAATTAGGAATTTTAAGAATTTGAGTTTTGTTCTGCATTTTCTCCCATTCTATCAGGGTCTAAGGAGCTCTGGTAGCATAGTGGTTACGAATTGGGCTGTGAACCGCAAGGTCAGCAGTTTGAAACTACCAGCTGTTCCATGGGAGAAAGATGAGGCTTTCTGCTCCTGTAAAGATTTACAGCCTCGGAAACCCAGTACAGGGTTGCTATGAGTCGGAACCAACTCCATAGCACATAACAACAACATCAGGGTCTATCTTTTGTGGCCCTGATCAGAACAGTTCATTCACAAAGTCAAAGTATTATTAAGAAATGTGCAAAGACCTGGAGTTAGAAAACTGAAAGGGAAAGACACACTAGGCATTTTCAAGCTGAAAGAATTAAAGAAAAGAATTCAAGATTTGAGTTGGAATAATGAAGGATTCTATGGGTGCAAACATAACAACATATATATGAAGATAATGCAAGATCAGCCTGTTGTGCATAGCATCACTATGAATCAGAGCTGATTTGATGGCACTTAACAACAACAACAAATGGGTAAAATATTGAATGATAAAAGGAATACACAGAATCACTGTAACAAAAAGAATTGGTTGATGTTTGACCATTTCAAGATGTAACATATTATTAAGAACCACCTGTATCGAAGGAAGAAGTCCACACTGCACTGAAGGCACTGGTGAAAAACAAAGCTCCAACAATTCATGGATACCAGAAATGTTCCAACAAACAGATACAGCTCTGGAGGTGATAACTTATCTATGGCAAGATATATGGATGACAGCTAAACATTTCGCCAAATAGGGCAACATTTGTGCATATTCCAAAGAAAGATGACACAACAGAACATGAAAATTACGAAAGAGGATAATAACATAACATAACATAACATAACATTACAGGTTAAAGTCTCATAAAGGTAATTACAGATGAATCTTGCTAAAAGTAGAGAATATCAGAAAATGTTCACCTGTGTTTTATTGATTAACAAAGGCATTGTCTGTGAGGATCATGATAAACTATGAATAACTTTGCAAACAATGGGTATTCCAGAGCACGTAATTGTGTTCAGGAGGAACCTGTACATAGACCAACAGGCAGTCGCTTGAATAGGACAAGAAGATACTGTGTGGTTTAAAATCAGGAAAGGTATAATCCTTTTCACTGTGATTTTTGCAATCTGATGCTGAGCAAATAATCAAAAAAGGCAGGTAATATGAAGAAAAACACGGCATCGGGATTGGAAGAAGATCTGCTAACAACCTGTGAAATACAGAAGACACAACCTTACTTGCTGAAAGGGAAGAGGACTTGAAACACTTACTGATGAAGATCAAAGTCTACAGCCTAGAATATAAATTACACCTCAAAATAAAGAAAACCTCACTATTGAACTAATAAGCAACAACAACTTAAATGGAGAAAAGAATGAAGTTGTCAAGTAATTCATTTTGCTTGGCCCACAACCAATGCTCATGAAAGCAGCAGTAAAATCTCGCACTATATTGTACTGGGCAGATATTCTATAAAAGACCTCTTTAAAGTATTAAAGAGCAAAGATGTCACTTTAAAAACTAAAGTGCGTCTGACCCAAGCCATGGCATTTTAAAAAATGTAAAATAACAAGTGTTGTCCAGGATGTGGAGAAACTGAAACTTTTATACATCTCTATTTGGGATGGCACAACATTTGTGGATGACGGTTTGGCAATTATTAAAAACGTTCAAAACAATTACTTTATGATCTAGCAATTCTACTCCAAGATATGTGAAGGTAAGTCAAAGGGTACTGCTACAAAGTCACAGAAATCTTTATTTTTAAAAATACCAAAATGCAAGGGTACCGTTTCTCAATGTATCCTTCATCTAGGTCCACACACTTCTGAAGGCAGTGTTTCCATCTCTTTAGCCTTCCCTGAAGAATCCTGAGTGATTTGATTTACATCACATCCAATCAGCAGTTCTGGCATTCACGAAGGATGCAAATTGTGTTTTCCTTTTACATGTTCTTTGAGTTTGGGGATCATGAAGCCTGCAGGGTTAATGTCAGGGCAGTAGGGTGGACGGGGTGAAATTTCCCAGTGAAATTCTCATAAGCCAGCACTTGCTACTCTTGAAGAACGAGCAGGTATAGTGTCATGA